TAGACTGCAATGACAAGTTAAGTAGCCTAAGTCCTCTTTTAATCCATGTAACACATTATGCCCCTTGGTTCTTAAGATATATTACCAAGATGATATGGCCTAAATCACTTGTATAATTAAACCCAACAATTACTTTGCACTGAGAAAGCCAAGTAATTTTATTTTAAATAGTAAATAGCCTTAAAATGACCTCTGGGATCGGAAGAGCTCAAACTGATAAAAATAATTGGAAGTTACAGCTTAATTTAGTTTCCTATAATCCCTTAGGATTATTCAAAAGTAATGCTTATATAGAGATAATAAGAGAAATAAACATTCACAGAGAAAGAGGAGAAAAACTGAGGGTGTTCAAAACTTATCCTGCATTTAAAAAAAAATTAAAATATCCTGTATACTTAATACATATGTATGAAACCACAATTTTTAGGTGTATTATTTTGTATAGTTAAACTGAAGAGGTTTTTATATGTTTTATTTTTTTCTGATTATTAAATGTGTAAAGAGAAGCTATTTTGATATAGTAAAGAACACACTAGTATTGTTAACACAGAAGGAGTAAGTAGAAAAAGCACTTGAATTTATGTCAGGAAACTACATTCTTGGCTCTAATACAAACTGTATAATCCTGAACAGATCAATTTAAGTCTTTACGTGTTAATTTTCTATCTTATAAAATAAAAGATGTTATACGGGTTTCCAAGATAGGAATTTTTCGTATCTAACATTCTATAATTCTAAAATACATCTGTAATTTGAGGGAAAAAGGAGAAATTCAGAGGGGTTTATTATACTTCTGAGAGTTAGAATAAAGAATAATTTTTACTAAGTCTAAAAGAAAAATACACCATGATAGAAAGAAGGAAGGAGTCTCTAACCTAAATATGACCATTTTAATTTGGTGGGCACACTCTAATGAAACCAAGTTAATTGGCATTAACAGAATATGCTGTTTCACTTTTGGTTAATATAGCTAACAGTTAAAGAAGAATTTGGACTGTACTTGTTGAGAAAAAAGGAGAAATGACCTTGGAAAGAAAATACAGCAATTCCAAAAAGAACTAAATAGAATCCCAATAGAACTTTGGTGACTACAAGGCCATTACTGTGACGAAAGTCTTATCCTTAGTGTAATCACATTTGCAGTGCTAAACACAAAAAGAACTGACAGACAATATATCAACTTTTGGAATTTAAAAGCCCACAAAAATTATGATGATTATAGAAGATCATGTGATAAAACACTTGTCAGTTTAGGCATTTGGGCCAATGTGCGTTACCTTCATTATTTTAATCAGTCCTCAAACTGATGCTGCTATTATAAAAATCTTATGGATAGGGAAACTGAGGCTTCTGTTAAGTAATTTTCTCAAGGATTCTCAGAGCTAGTAAGTGTCAAAGCTGTAACTTGAACCTAGGCTGTGTGACTTCAGGGACTACACTATACAGTATCTCCATTTAATCCAAACTGTCCTCTCTGGAGGAAACTGAAGCCGACAGAATTAAAGTCAAAACTGGCTAGAAGCGATTTTAATACTTATTTTGTGACCGGTCCTTTAATATTTTATGTATTTGCACACCTTTCTAATTATAAGAACCTAGGGGAAAGTTTAATTTTTGTTTATAAAATAATATTTAGTATCTGTTTATCATTCATGTCATTCTGAATGGAAAGATACTTCTCAATTATTGTTATTCAAATATGTTGGTCCTATGAATTAAGAGATTAATGAGAATATATTTTTAAATATTTGTAAAATTTACTTATGAACTATTACAATAAAATGAATAGTTTTAAAATATGGGAAATTTAAGTAGAAAATTAAATTAATCAAACTTGTTATTTACTATTAATACACAAATGGGAAAAAACATTCATTTGATGTTCAGAATAAGTTGATTGATACAAAGCATGTTGTCATGTAATGGTTTTTTTGTAAAATGTTCAAAGGGACAGAAAATGGAAAGGACTAGAATGCTTTTTTAAAAAAGCAATTGTGGTGAATTTAGTTATTAAATCAATAACAACATTGAAATATAATTGTATTTATCCACACATACTCCTTAATTTCTCCTAACCTCTAAAGAAAAGAAAAAAAATTGAATGGAAAAAATATGTTTGTATGTTGCATACACATACAAGTGCATGGGGGTAGTGGTTGTGAAGGAGTAAATAAATGAGACATGAGAAAAATGAGTACTTACAGGCAAAATCTATCCAGACATTATAATCCATCACTGATCCCCAAAGGGCACTAATAATATGTAAATGTGTGAATGAGAAAACACATTCAAGGCTGTTGATAAACTTGATAGGATAATCAGCACATGCTGACAGGCTAATGAAACTGATGAACTGACAGGGCAGCTTATCTCCTGGGCCATTTTTTTCCTTGTCAAATGGAGGCTAATCAAAATGTATTAGGAGTTAAAGCAAACACTTGGGGGATTTAACCCATTTGATTAGGAGGTGAACTCACTCTGAGAAAATTATAGTTTCCTAAACAAGTGAAACTATAAAACCTGATCAGCTAATGGACCTTCACACAGAATTAAGCAGAAAGCAGCCACCATAATTATAAAAGAAATCTGGTATTTTAAATTATAGTAGGGTCTTTCCTTCAAAAATTGTTAGGAGGATGCTTTTCAGAGTCTGGGCAAAGTGACCATCTCCTATCATGGAAAATAAGACAAAGGACTAAGCAACGACCCCCAGGGACACATTTATCTTTCGCTGCCTGTGTATGCTCAGCATCTGTGTAATCATGTGAGAGACAGATCGAGGTACCAGCTGAATTTTCAAATTTATTAACATAAAATAATTGAATGAATTTTCTGAAATCACTAACTACAAGTGAATACCACCACTTCCCGTTAAAAATAGTTACCACATGCAGTCTGTTGCCAAGGATCTCAGAGCCCTATTCTAATTTAAAGAAAGATGTCTCGTTTGATAGCTGAGGAAAACTGGGAATACGGCTTTCACAAGCACCAGCACTAGAGTTAAGAATAAAATCATAAACTAAAATCGCTGTGCCTCTTGAGACAAAGCTAGAGAAAGCAATCCTTTCAGCATTTATTTTGATGTGGAAAACATCCAGCACTAAAATAGAAAAGCTAATTTAACTTATAAATCTACACACTCTAGGCACATGCTTCATGGACATGCATATTTCCTTGGTATAGACAGGTTGATAGCAAAATGCTGGACAGTAAAAGGCATTGTTTTAATTTACAAAACTTAAAGAGCAAAAGTACATTTAATCAACCTAGATTTTACGTTTTAGTAACTATACAAAGAAAAAACTAAAAAATACTCCAGAGTCTTTTTTAATATGAGCATTAAATCACTCTACTGGAGGTAGTATTTCCAGAGACATAGAATGAATATTTTGACCTCTTCCAAATATAGATTTTTTTTTTCTGTTTACTGACCTACTCACCTGTGCCCATTCTATCTCTAAACTATTTCTTTCTTTCTTTTTTTTTTTTTGAAACAGAGTCTCACTGTGTTGCCCGGGCTAGAGTGCCGTGGCGTCAGCCTAGCTCAAAGCAACCTCAAACTCCTAGGCTCAAGCGACCCTTCTGCTCAGCCTCTCGAGTAGCTGGGACTACAGGGCACGTGCCACCGTGCCCCGGCTAATTTTTTTTTCTATTTTTAGTTGTTTGGCTAATTTCTTTCTATTTATAGTAGAGACGGCGGTCTCGCTCTTGCTCAGGCTGGTTTCAAACTCCTGACCTCGAGCAATCCTCCCGCCTCGGCCTCCCAGAGTGCTAGGATTAGAGGTGTGAGCCACTGTGCCTGGCTCTAAACTATTTCTTAATTCTCTGTCACTTGGAAAATAAAGAATGTGTGTGTTTTTTCCAGGTGTATATTTTCTAATTTGGGAGGGTTTGGGATTTTTGTGTGTGTGCTCAAGCCATGCAGCTACTATCAAGTTCCTCAAATCATGAAATTTAGAAGTGGAAAATAATCCTGGAGATCATATAGTCTAATCTCATTTATTTTATATGCATGAGAGAGTCCTAGAAATATTAAATTTAACCAGGTTTAATGAAAAGGTAAAATCTGAGCATGCAATTGGTGCTTTGGAGAAAAATATCTGAGGAAAAAGCAACCCCTTTTCTTCTCTTATCTTGAAACAGCAACACTGATCAATCAGCAGGGCATTTTAAACTTTAGAGATTTTTTTCTTCCCTAAAGTCACATGATAAATTTGTGGTTTTCAGTTGTGTCCACCATCAAACAGCTGCCGTAACAATTTACTACAAGGCAGGCAGGCATCAACCACCAGTAACAGGGAGATGTTAGAAATTCCTGGTTCTTGGACTTCTTATATAGAAAAATCCATGCCTTAGATCCATATACTTTCTAATAAGAGAATTAAGCTAATCATTCAACATAGAAGAATAATTGTAGTAGCACATTTACAATCTGCACAGTTTCCTTTTTATTCTAAAATATTACTCTGAAAAGACCTATTAAGCTACAAGGCCTGATCTATCAAAACCATATGAGTTGGCTCAGTTATCTTTTATAAGCATCAAAGTTCATGAATTTCTACATCACAGCATGTTTACTTTTCAGAATCTTCGGATTAATAGCATGATCAAAATTATCATGAATTTGATAATCTCATTAAAACGAATGTGCACTTTATACATCTCTAAATATACATGAAAATTTTACACATATGTACAAGATATCACTTTTGCAATCTCTATAGAATCTAGCTCATACTCAATATCCAGAGAGTCCTGAGAGTCCCTTGCAACAATTCTGGGATCTGACCAACACATTGGGAATCACTATTTTAATACATATATTTGTCCATATCAGAACAAGTGTGCTCTGTTAGAATTTGAATATGACACCCAATCGTGAAATAAGGTTTCTTTGTGAGGATTAATATGATTCATTAGCACCTCATTGAACACAAGCATGTTTTAATTATTCCAGAAGTCTCTGAAATATCAATTTAAAGTATTAACGTTTTACTTACCCATCATGTTGTACAAGCTCTGTGGGGCAAACTGCCTTGGCATTTTCTGAATTGCTTCTTTGTATACACTAAGGGCTTCCTAATTTATAAGAAATAATAAAAAAGATGAATCATCACCAAAGTTCAGGGATATTCACTGAAAATAAGATAATAACATTCTTCCAAATAACAGTGCTATTTCTAAATGGATCACTAGAGGAAAATAATTGAGCTGTCCTTTGATAGCATGCTATCTCAATTTCACAAATGCAAGTACTCAGCCCCGTCAGTGAAAAATGCCCTAGTTCAACAAGAAGTTAAATGTTAGCAATGCTCTTTTAATATAAATTTTCCAGTTCACACAGATCAGTCAATTAAAAACTTAAGAAAATTGTATTTGGAAGTTACTCATAATTACTTTAAGTCAGGAAACCTGGTGGGATCTAAATAAAATATCCACTAACAAACCTTCTGACTACAGAGACTCATTGAAGTTATTAAATGCAATTACTTTAAAAGTTGTATCTCCATCCTTCCACTTCAGTCTTAATGTATTGTGTAAGAGTATGTGAGTTAGGAGGGGAGAAGGAGAGGGGCGATAAAATTAGGAGCACACGCAAGCATGCTTCCTACAAGAGGAAGACAGGACAAGGCTGGGTCACCTCTTAACTTACTGTACAACATCCTCTTACATCCTTTTTCCCTTCCCCTCAATTAAAAAATTAAATTAAATTTTATTTCATTATAATATATGAGAAAATGAAGATAAATAAGTAGAATTAACATCAAATCTCTATCTTAATATTCAGAGTACAAACAATATATTTTTTTATAATATCACACACTGGGTATAAGGTAACAATTCTGGAAAGTGCATCTTGGATCATTAAATCAAAGAAAAGGGGGGCAAATAAATTTGAGAAAGATTACATGTTCTCTCCCTTTCTTGAATAGTCCCAATACATATTGACATAATTGCTCTGAGAAACTCACAGGAAAGAAATTTAATTTTTATATAGAAAACGTTTTTTCCAAACAGATTTGATCACAAAACTCTTTTAATGTCAACATGTTAGTTTCCAAAGGACAGCAGTTTAATGTGTACATATATAAGTTTTTTAAAAGACAGTTGGCCCTGCAAGGTTGTGGGTTAGACAACATTGAGACTGGATGAGAACAAGGGGGAAGGAAAAGGAGTACAGGTATTGGCCTGACCTCATAGTGTCCCTGCTCATGATAGAGTTTTCCCAGATTGTACAGACAGCTGGTAACAGAGCTCTTGTGTGCGTGAGGATCTTTCAGGTTTTCATCGGGGATCTCAGAACACTTTAAGAATGTACGTCTGGCTTCTTCTGTCTTTCCTTGGTTCATTAGAATAATACCGGTGTTTAAATATGCAGCTGAGGGGGGAAAATGTAAACAGAATTGGGAGAAGTATGAGAAGGTGATATACACTGTGGATAAAATAAAGTTATTTTTGTTTCGGTTTAGTCTATGAATTATTTCTCATTTTAAAAAAACAAATTCATATAGGATCAATAATGGTAGTATGAACTATGGTATCACTACAAAACATATAAAATAGTGTCTGCCCTCAAGGAATTCCAATAATTTTGAGTTTACAATCTGGTTTAGTAAAAGTTACAGCTACCATAATGTTTTTTAAATGATCAAGGACATCAAAATATGAATCGAAAGAGATACAAGTGCTAGAAGTTCCTAATTTGAGTAGCAAATATTCAGAAAAAGAAGCAATGAGTGTTTTCTCTGTGATGCTGCAAATCACAGAGATAATTTTCAAGAACGAAAAGAGGCATTAAAACAATTTCAAATATTACTTACAAGCCAGGGTAGGCCTGCTCCCAATGGCCAATTTATAATAATGTAGTGCTTCTGCAAACCTGCTGTTCTCCTGTAGAAGTAACCCTCTGCATGAAGAAAACAGAAATTTAGAGACAGGACTGTATTACTACCTAGAAAACCACAAATTTTTATTTTATATTCCAAAAATAAAAATGGTTAACAGTGCAATAAAATGCTAACCTGTTATAAAAATAAATTCTAAATAGAAGGAAATGATTCCTCAGGAGAGAAAATACTGGATCGGTATCAGTTGCATTTATGCTGCATTAGAAAGGATTAAGTAGTATTTTCAAAAAGCCTTTTACCACCACTGAACTTTCCCCTTTCCTAGCTGTCTTTTCTCTCCCACTAGAATTACTAACCACCTGCATTTCTTCTCGGAGCACGCATATTTTCTCATCACTTCGGAAAGAAAACTTCTGTAAGGCAGTGATATATGGAAACATGAGATGTCTCTCTCACTAGCTGTGTTGCTTGGGAAATATGGTCTATGATTGTGCCAAAGGCCAAAGGTCGTCTGGGTCAACAGCAAAAATAGAGTCAGAATTTAATCAGATACCATAAAGGAATAAAGAAAAAGACTGAAGCTATCCATATCGTTATTTCCTTGATATCTGGAGTTAGCCAAATAAGCTTGAATTTCAGAACACTGTGCAAATTTCAGCTCACTGATCTGAAAAACACTTTTCTCTGCAGACTCCAAGACTCCATGGGTCTTCCTAGGAGGCTCCTTAGGTAGTAGCCGCATGCAATATTGCAGCCATTCCAGACCCCACCCTCATGACCTAAATGAAAATCAATTACAATCATGTCTATGAAAATAAGGTGTCAGGGAATAGAACCAAGTTCGAAAAGCTCTTAGAGGACTTTTTGGCCTATTCCCATTCTCTTGCAATCAGTAAGTATCTTACAGACATCCCGCACATCTATTAAGCCTGAGTACTGCTGTTATCACCTCAAATTGCAGATTTAACTTGGCAGCTTCTGAGGCCTTTCAAAGGCCGGTAAAATAGAGGTCAGAGAAAAGAGAAGGCCACAGATAAAAGCTTATTTTGTGGAGTATTTAACTACTCAGATTATTTAATGAGCATCTTGAGAAAATCTTTAAAGAGTGCTTATTTGTGTCATTAGTGTATATTAACATTATTTTTAATGTTTGCTAAGAAGTCATTAGAAGAATTCCCAAACACATTTCATTTTCATATATATAAAAACGTACATTTAATTTCTATTAAAAATTTCTGAGCGACAATTAATTTGATCATGAAATTGATAGACTGTGCTGCGGAGTGTACTTTTCAGTTGCTGGGAATAAGAAAAAAAAACAAAGCTTCCTGCAGAAGTCAAGCATTTGTAAAAATGGTGAGTTGTATTTAAAAGTGTATCAAAAGAAAGGCCACATTTTTTTAAAAAAATATTCTTTTAAATAATTTTATTAATATGCTTTCTAGTTAACTAAACTCACATATGTTATCTAATTTCTGAAACTTAGCTACAAGCTTAATTGTCTTACTTGCTTTCCTTTCAAATTCAGATAAAGAAGTGCTTCTCCTTTGATACAAAGCTAAGGGCATGAGGAAAAATAACATCCAGATATTTAATTTAAATTTTTCCAGCTTCTTTAGAAATTAAAATTCCACAATTGGCCTCCATTTTTCCAGTATCTTCAAACTCTTTTTCCAGTTTCCTTTCCCTTAAGACTAGAAAAAATGTTCATGGGCTTCTTAAATTTAGGGGAGGAGAATACTCCTACAATCTTTACCCATTCCTATATCCACCTCTAACTACTGCTTACTATTATTTTTTCCATTCAAACTCAGATTTCCTTTAAGAATGGTCTATGGGGCATATGGCCAAAGTCTCAGATCCCATTTAACCCTTAATACAGGTTAGGCTCTATTCCCAGAATTCCTCTGAAATGTCCTATCAAATTTCTACTAGTTATCAAACTCCAAAATAGTTCATTTATGTGAACAGCCCACTCAAGTATTGCACTTGAGCTTACTGAATTCACCTTCCTTCCTGAAACTTTGTTTCCTTGGCTCCTGGGAGACCATTCTCTCAGGTATCTTCCATTCTTGAGATTATCCTATGTAGAATGAAAATGAAAGTGCCTCTTCATTCATACACTCCTTTAAAAGGAGCTGGTGTTTCAAAGGATTTTGTCTGTGTAGCTTCTCTTCATAAATACAGTTTCTGCCTGACATCATACATAAATGTGGCTCATGTATATGCTGACTGCTCTCAATTCTGAAGTAATGATCTTTCTCCTGACATCCAGATTTGCTTTCAATAGCTGACTAAACCACATCTGAGGTTTACTGAAATTTCAAAATCAACACATCCAAAAATTGAAAACAATCTCTCTCACCTAAAAATAAATGAAAGAAAGGAAATAGAAGAAAAACATCTCTTTCAGAATCAACATCATCATTCGCTCCAGTTTGGTAAAATCAGAAACCTGATTTATCACTCTTAATTCTTTACATATCCCCATAATTCCATGTTTTGTAAAGTCTCCAAAGCCCACCAATTCTTATTTTCTAAAGCTCTTTATTCTGCCCCTCAAGGTTTATCTTCATGGCTGTGTCAGAGCTCTTTTATCTTTTCTGTCATCTGAATAAATGCAATAGTCCACTAATTAGTCTCCACATAATTACATTTCTAAAGGGCAACTATGCTATTAGGCTAGATGGAATGAACATGAAGGAGATGAGCACGAATCTTTAACAATGTGCCTAAAACTCATAAACCTTGAAAATTGATGTACTTAGCCTCATGGGATCCCCAATGCTGATATACTATATTCCTGTCATTTTCCAATTCACAAAATATACAAAGAGGAAAAAATAATGAATAGCATAATAACCATCCCTAGACAAGCCTGTCCTGCCTGCCTTATTTTTTTGCAGGGTCCCAGTTACATGGAGCCATGCGGCAGGCAAGTTGCCAGGATTATATCTAATGCGCCTCTCTGAATTAGAATATCATCCACTGCATCATCTGAATAACGTTAGCAATGGAGTGAGTCCAAGTTAGATGGCTATTGTGACTGATTTCTCATGGGCTCAGAATTTAATTGAGCATTAACTATGCCCTAGTATGGACGCTGCACATGTGAACAAGACAGATGCATTTGCCTATGGATACACAATCTACTGGGGGAGACAAATAAGAAAACAAACAGTGTGGAAAATTACAATGCTAGAGGACAGAGGACCAACACTGCCCAGCCCAGGAATAGACAAAGAAAGGTCCACAGAGTCCAGATGACATTGGCAGAAGCTTGAAAATACTCAGCAGTAAAAAGTTTTATCATCAGCTGCATGTTACTCAGGAAGAAAAAGAAGTTTAGAGAATTCATCAACTAACTCTAGTTTCTGTGGTTAATAAGAGGCAAAGCCGGAATTGAAACAGTTTCTCTGAAACTAAATCCCATGCTCTTTCAGAAAGAAAAGAGGAAAGAGATAAAATAATTCAATTCTGGGTACATATGTACTAGGTTATGTTTCTTTTTGCTCTAAGACTCTCCAGATTTTGCATTACATTAACTTACACTGATACTCTAAAAGGAATCAAGTGACATTTTGCAAATTAGGATGAATTTGGGTCAATTCTAGCACCATTATGACCAGGCTTCTGTTACTGCTATTTTCCACATCTATAAAACATGGTTTTTTTTCTTACTGAAGATAAATGATAGAAATCCTTCACATTGCAATAGTTACAACAATAATATTAATAACAACAGCAGCTAAACTTACTTAGCACTTACAATGTGTGTGTAGCACTTTACATATATTAATTTATTACTCAGTAATAATCCTATTGAGATAGGTTATTATGTGCTCCATTTTTCAGGTGATGAACCTTGGCCAAGAAAAAGGTAACATGCCAAAGATCAATCAGTAAGAAGTATATCAAAATTCAAGCCTGGAAGTTATACTATAAATGAAGACCTGTACTTTTAGTAGATCACTCATACAAAAGGCTTTCCCATGATGTTTTAAAAATGACAACATAGTTTGTTTACATGTTAATCATGTTAAAAATTTCTGGTTTCTTCTATGCATATTAAAAATAAGAACACATTTTAATATACCATAAAACTAGAATCTAATTAGAAATAATTTTATCCATATTACATGAAGTTGCCTTAGAATTAAGAAATCTGGCCCCAGGTATGAATATGAAGAAATTGAAAACAATGTCACTGATCTCTAATTTATAAATGGTAGGGTCAATTTTATATATCTCTGTGTAAGTGAATATATTATAGCATTTTATAAAGAATATTTTACTTCTCAGATTTCTCCTTTCATGATTTATCTTTCAGAGCAACAGTCACCGAAATTAAGCAGCCAGTGATGAAGAATATAAATTAGAAAAAGAGAAAGAATAGTTGTTCTCATCAAAGAAAGAAAATCCATCTGGTCATAAAAGCTACTACCACTCATTCTAACATCTAAATTCTAGAAAATCATTTTATGTCAAGAAAAAACAATTAAAAAATTGTTCTCCCTTAAATTCTTTTAGCTTTTTTCTGATTTTGATTACACATTTTAAGATTTACCATTGCATGTGCAGAATTTCTTTTCCCTGTGAAAGTTCTACCTTATCCACAGTCCCCCCAACCACCCTTTGTCTAAAATACCATTTTTAAAAACCATAATAATCTAGACACTTGATTAATGAAAACCAGTCAAACCCAAGTAACAGTGGATTGGACAGAGCTGGACACAATCATTAAATGTAAACAGGCATACAGGACCCTAGCGGATTCTAAACACTGACAGAGACAGAAGGGGAACATTTATTTAGCACTGTGGTCCTCAACAAGGGGTGACTCTTCCCTTCAGGGGATATTTGGTAATGTTTGGAGACATTCATGATTGTTACAACTGGGAGGATGTAACTGGCATCTAGTGGGTTGAGGCCAGAGATGTTGTTAAACATCTTACCAGGCACAGAACAGCCTTTCACAGCAAAGACTAACCCAGCCCAAAATGTCAACAGTGAAGTTGAAAAAACCACTATTAGAATTTCATATCAACTAACTGTAGCA